AGGGAAACCACCAAGGAAGACTCTGAAAAGGCAATGGGAAACCACCTCTGCTTCTCATTTGCCTTGACAGCCCCTTGCTGGGGTCACCATAAGCTGGCTGTGACTTGACAGCACTTTACAACACACATACCTGGCAGAGGATTCCCAGATGTTTTGCACTCCATCTGTATTGGATTGTTCATAACCACAGTCTCATTTATCATTTTCCCCGCGTCCATCAGACTGGGTGGCTCTAAAAAGAAGAAGAAAAGCATGGTCTTATGATTGTTCACCCACGCTGTGCACAGGCTCTTTTTGGCCTGTGCACTGCTGTTTCCATGATCTTGTCACAGAAAGAGTAGCTTTTTCTGGGCAAGGGAAGGCTGATATGGCTCAAAGAAAGGGCCATGAAAACATACTGCCAAATGCAGAGCGCCCCAGAATAGGATGTTTGGGGAACTGGGGTGCCTCGCACCATACACACAGGCTGCGGTCACACACACTAAATAATCCACTTTCAATGCACTTTCCAACTGGATTTTGCCAGTTCACACAGTAAAAATCCAGTCTGAAAGTGGATTGAAAGTGGATTATTTAGTGTATGTGACCACAGCCTCAGAGTCAATATTGGGGTGTGGAAGTAGAAGGAATAGGAACAGAGGAAAGATACTACAGCTTAGGGGTAGGCAACCCAGGACCCATATGCAAAACAGTGGCACACCAGACCATTTTGTATGGCAGGCAGGGCTGTTATTTTTTAACAAGCAACCAATGAAATCCCCTTGAGGTACTGGCAATGGCACTTGGGCTGGTAGCATAGAAGAATGCGATGGACATGACTTATGTCATCATTGCCTCTGGCCCTGTGTTGATGGCATCTGGATCTGAGTCAAACCTCTGAGGTTCTGTCAGAGTCACTGAGGCTTGGCTTAGTCTCAACCACATCATTCCATTTGTTGGCATACCAATTAGTTAGAGGAGTTTGGGCCTTTGGGCCAAGAAGATTGTTTCTACCTGCTATATAATTTTCCATAATCAATTCCTATACACCAAAAGCTACAATATCACTGACAGTTTTATCTCAGTTTCTCCTCAGTACAGGCCCAGAGTTCCTCAAAACCTTTCTGGATCTATAGCAAATCGATTATGAATATCTGGCAAGCAATGCTCCCTCTAAGCTGTGGAGTTTTGTGAGCAAAACTTCTACTTTGTGATCTACTGGCCTTAAAGTTGTGAGTGAGCGATTTGTCTGCTGCATAAATTAGTTTGCTCTGGGGCCATCCCTGAGTTAAGACAAAATTTGTGAGCTGGAGGCTAAAAAACTGTGAGCTAGCTCACACTAACTCAGCTTAGAGGGAACACTGCTGGCAAGTATGCCACTTCCACAGCTTACAGGGAGCATTGCAGGGGCCCACTCAGGTCAGGAAAATGGTGTGGGAGGAAAGAGTTATATCTACAATTCAATTAATTTAACCTCTCCATAGTTGCTGTTTATAATTTTTTTTAAAAAAATGGTTCAACCTATCATGAATCTTCCAGTGTTTTCTAGATTGGCCAGTTTAGACAGACCGAGGATTATTTTCTTTACTTCTTTACTTGGTAGCCATCATCATATCCAGAACACGGTTGAGGAAATTGAGGCACTTGCCTTGGGGACACAATGCTGAGGGGTGCAGAAAAAGTATACTATGACTAAAATAAATGTATTATTACTCTTGTAATTTATTTATTTACCTTTTTACCAAAATAACTACTATGAAACATGGGGGGGTGTAATTTTATATTCTTACCTCAGCCGCAAAATTGGCTACTTATGGCTCTGAGGGGTGTCTGCAGAGATCAGTCCTTGTGCCCAGTAAACTTCTCTTGCCACTTTCTGAGAGCCAGTTTGGTGTAGTGGTTAAGTGTGTAGTGGTTTGGTGTAGTGGTTAAGTGTGCGGACTCTAATCTGGGAGAACCGGGTTTGATTCCCCACTCCTCCACTTGCACCTGCTGGATGTGACCTTGGGTCAGTCACAAGCTCTGGCACAGCTGTCCTTGAAAAAGAGCAGTTTGTGTCAGAGTTCTCTCAGCCCCACCCACCTCACAGGGTGTCTGTTGTGGGGAGGGGAAGGGAAAAGGAGTTTGTAAGCCGCTCTGAGACACCTTTGGGTAGTGAAGGGCGGGGTATAAATCCAATCTCTTCTTCTTCTTCTTTCTGTGTCCATAAATAATAACATTACACCAAAACTAGTCTTGCAGATTCCCTGGCCTAGTTCTCACTGAGGTGACATGTCAAGGAGAAAGTTTCCAGTTTTGAATTCTTTTTGGCTTACTGCTGTTCTATATGGAGGCAGCTCTTTTCCCGTAGTGGATAAATGAATCATGTGAGCCATCACCTGCATTCTGAAGTAATTTATAGCCCAGATACAGGTTTACCACCTCAATTAGAACTCGACTTTAGCTACAGAAAAGTGATTATTGAGATTATAATGGTGAAGGATAAACCTCTAAAGTGACTAGAGGTGCTAAAAGCTTTTCAGATGCTTGCAAAACAGGAGGAACTGAACACAAAAACTGGCTGTGGGTGGGTAATTTTATGATCAATAGGACAAACTAAGCCACTAGTCAGGAAAACCATTACCATATATATGCAGCCGGATGTGCTGCTGAGCTTCCCCTGCCGCGTTTGTTGCTACACAGGTGTATCTGCCAGCATCTTCCACCAGGGCTCTGGCAATCTGCAGAATGCGGCCTGAAGATTCCAGCTGCTCCAGAACAACAAAGGCAAGCCAAGGGACCAATGAAATGATAAGTTCCATCACAACCAGTGAGATTTCCAAAAGCATGTATGCACACTAGCACAATTTCATTAAACCCCCATTCTACTTTTATGTTATGATAGTATTCGGGAGGGGGGGGATGCTGTGATGCTCAAAAATCCAGAAGTTAGTTAACCTTCCAGTTTAGGATACATTTTGCAGAATGGATAAACATTATATTATGCTAGCATGCTTGGACCTAGGTAGACTAAAATTCAGGGTACTGTTTGTAACTTGGCCTTTTTATTTGCTGGGAGCTTATTTATGCATTTAAAACATTTATACCCAATCTTTCCACTATTTTTGTAGGAATCAAGGCAGCTAACAAGATTTTTAACACCCAAATCATAATTAAAATAGATCAGATTGCCACACACATGGACCTTAGTGAGAGCAAACATTGACAGAAATATCAAGAAAAACAAGAAAAAAAACAGCAACATAAAAAGGTTTACTAGACTCCAATTGCCTTCTCTGGAATGTAAGCAAACACTGAGATGCATGATTCCTTCTAGCTTCCAGAAGGAAGGGGGTCCGGTAGGCCTTCTTTAGCAGTAAATTCCATAATCTAGGTAAACAGTTGAAAAGGCTATATGTCACATGCCCAATAGTTTTGCCAAGTCCAGCTTGGGAAATTCCTGGGGATTTGGGGGCAGAGCTTGGGGAGGGCGGAGCTTGGGGAGGGGGGACTTCATCAGGGATTGATGCCATAGGGTTCCCCCTCTGAAGTTGTATTCTGCTCCAGGGATACTGTAGTGTGGAGATCAGCTGTAATTCCAGGAGAACTCCACCCCCCCTTAGTTTAGGGTTGCCAGCCAGTCCCCAGTTGGGGGGTTGGGGATCCCCTGGTTTTGTGGGCTCCTGTTTGCTGCTGGCCAGCTGACTGAATGAAGGAAGTCCCCCCAGTAATGGGGAGCAACATGCCTATGTCACCCAAAAGTGACACAGGCACGTTGGTGATGTAGGGAGGGATGCTCTGGTTTTTGGGCAAAACACTATGGTTTAAGGTGGAGCCTGAAGATCTCCCAGGATTACCACTGATCTACAGATAATAGAGATAATAGAGAGAGATCGGTTCCCCTGGGGGAAATGGTTGCTTTGGAGGGTGGAATCTGTGGCATGACACCCTACTGAGGTTCCACACCTCCTCAAACTCCATCCACTACAGGCTCCATCCCCAAAATCTTCAGGAATTTCCCAAAGCAAAACTGGCAACCCTGCTTGGTTACCAGAGGTTGGATCTCTAGATCCTGGGCTTGCTTGATCAGTGCACTCCTCACTATAGATCTTTTCCTCCATTAATCCCAGTTTTTCAGACAAAAAGGATTAGGATTCTGGCTTTTGGGACCAAGTTATAAAACAAAATATATCATATTCAAAATATATCATAGAAGTTTGGGGAGGGGGGGAAAGAATGGGAGACTATGTATTGTAGTTACTAAAAATGTAGTGACAATTTGGCTCTCTGTATAAAACCAATGATCACATATTCCATTTTTCTGAAGAATGTCATGCCATTCAATAGCTTGTATGATTCTGCACCAGTAGAATTCTTGCCTCTGATTCCTCTGAACCAATAGGGCAACAACTGTTCATTGTTAGAACTGTTAATAAGTTAAAGCTTGGTACTCACTCTTATATTTTCTTGAGCTGTGTTCACAGGCCTACCATCTTTTAACCAGGTAATATAAGGCGTAGGAATGCCATTGGCGATGCACTGCAGTTTTACTGGTTTGTGTATGACTACAGATCTCTCAGAAGGCCCAGTCGATTTGATTGCTGGAGGGACTGCAGAAACCAATAAATAACTTTATGCAGTAGCTTCAAATTATAATATTATACCAGATTATTTACTTCAGTGAACTGCATCGGATTAGTTCTTGTGAGTCATCCTGCTACTATAGATATGCATATAGTCAGAAGAAATGAAGCAAACACCTTGCAATGATTACGCTAAGGGCCAAGCTAAATGATACATTGAATGCATAACTGCCACTGAAAATTACAACCATGTGTTTAATTCCTTCTTCTTTAATGACTACGTCAATTTGCCCCTGTCTTAACATCATGGAGTTCTGAGTTTCCTCCATCAGCAGTCAACATTATGAAGCAAGGGTAGGGAGACACAAAATACCGTACCATGGGTAAATTGCTCTGGTGCTCCAGAGTATTGTGCTTTAATGGCTTGTTTTGTTTTTATATTGAAAATTTATTATTGTTATGATTTTATGGTATTGTTTTCACTTGGAAGCAGCCTCAAGAAGCAGCATCTATATCCCCTAAATAAAATAAATAAAGAGTAGGAAGGGATTCAACCTGTATAAGAACATAAGAAGGACCCTTATGAATCAGACCAATGGTCCATTTAGTCCAGCATCCTGTTTCACACAGTGGCCAACCAGTTCCTCTGGATGGCCAACAACAGGGTATAGAGGCCAAGGCCTTCCCTTGATGTTGCCTCATGGCTCTGGGATTCTGAGGCTTAGTGCCTCTGAATGTGGAGGTTCCTCACAGTCACCATGGCTAGTGGCCATTGGCCCCTGCCACACGAGGGGGAAAGGGATGGGCTGAAGCGCGGCTTTTGAAAGCCGCACCAAAAGAAACACGCCGCGGCGGGATCACATTGATCCCCTGAGCATTCCCTCCCCGGCACGATCAGATGCCGGGGGAAGCGACGGAGGGGAATGAGAGACTGCCGAACTGCGCATGTCTGAGCATGCGCAGTTCAGGCAGGAGCCGGGGATGCGCTGGCAGAAAGACGGGCCGGCAATCCCACAGCCAGCCTTGATGCGGGCGTCGTGGATGAACCACCTCGGTAGGTGGTTCATTTTTGATGCGTCTCTCCGGGGGAAGGGCCGGATCAGGGACGGGCACGCAACGCTGCCCAGATGTTGCAGTGGGATCGCGCCCGTTTGCTCTGTCCCCGATCCGGCCCAAAACCCCTCGTGTTGACAGGGCAATTGATAGACTTATCCTCCTCTTTAGTGGCAGTCACAAATTTAATGTATATCTGACCATTAGAGTTTCTCCTGGCATCACTTTCATAGCACAGTAGATACTGTTCATGATGTGCACGCGTGCACACACACCATTGACTGTGGCAACCCTAGCATGGAACAGAATCACAGTGTGGACCTCTTCCATGTGGCTTGCAGTTTTTGAAGGAGGAGTTGCACTAACCATTAGAGTTTCTCCTGGCATCACTTTCATAACACAGTAGATACTGTTCATGATGTGCATGCGTGCACACACACCATTGACTGTGGCAACCCTAGCATGGAACAGAATCACAGTGTGGACCTCTTCCATGTGGCTTGCAGTTTTTGAAGGAGGAGTTGCACTGTTCTCTCCCCCAAACTGCCATGGTAACATAAAAAGGATTCTTAAAAACCATTTTACACAGCACGTACCATGCACAGTCACACCAAACTCTTTTTCGTGATCCCCTGCCTTGTTTGTTGCTATGCATTGATAATGGCCAGTGTCTGACACTTCTGCTCGTGAGATGAGAAGCTTGCGTCCATTGAGTAAGATCTTATATCCAGCTCCACCTTCGATTGGCTGGCCATTTTTCAACCATCTAGAGAACAGAAATCAGATATCTAAAAATGTATGGGTTATGTGCTTTAGATCACGTATAAGGTTGTATGCCTTAGAACATATAGAACACCTGTTTACAAAATAGAAACTACAGACTCAGAGATAAGGGCCAAGGCCTAGTCTAATGAGTAATCATGGCCTCATGAGCTCTCCTCAGGAATGCATGACACCTACCCCTGCGACCAGTGCACTGCAGGAAGCCTTAGAGTGGCAAAAGTGTTATAAATACCAGGAACCCCTCTTTTCTTTTCTGTTCTTTGCCTGGTCAACATATCCACCATGTTTTAATCTCGCTTTTCCTCCTCCAAGGAGCTCAGAATAGTAGACACAGATCTTCCTTCTGCCATTTTATACTCACAACGACACTGTGAGATAAGTTATGTGAAAAGAGAGCAACTGGCCCTGTATGTTCTACAGCAAAGAGGCCCGTTCCCCGACGCTGGGGAATTGGGCCCCGGGGGGAACCCCGCCCCGGCGTGCGCGTCACCAAGAAGTGACGCTATGACGCCGGGCACGCTGGGGGCGGGGCCACGGCCATACAAGGGAAAACACCGGGAGCCGGCCGGGAGTCCCCCGCAGAGGAGGGGAGTGCCACTTGGCAACCATAGAGATAAGTTATGCGCAAAGACAGCAACTGGCCCTGTATGTTCTACAGCAAGTAGAGATTGGAAGCCCAAACTTCCCTCATCTGAGTTCAATACTCTAAGAAGTACACCACAGAAGCACTACTACAAATGGCTGCATTTTGCACCTTAGGCTTCAGCTTCCAGTTCTTTCAGTTCAAACTAATGAATGCTGAGCTGGAGAGTGCATTTTCTAGATCTGAATGCACCACTCTAGGTTGCCCCAAACACATGCATATATTAACTCTTCTTCCTTTATCAAATTGCAGTTCACTTAAATGGAGTATATCTGTGTTGGATAAAGGCTTTTAAAAAATGACAAGCAGGGAAAAGTGAGAACAGTGTTCTGAAACAGAAAAGGGGCAATCAAAAATTTTTTGCCTGCTAGATTTGATACCATTGGGTTGTGAATTTGCTAAGAAGCCTTGGACTCCACTTAATACAAAATAGCATTTTGATTTATGCATGGTCATTGTACCTACCTTGACTCACTATACCCTTTGATGAAGGATTTTCTTCGAAACGGTCTTAATATTATGTACGGTACTGTTGGGGAATACTGGACAGTATTTTCTATGGACTGTTATTGCCCCTAGGAGGGCTTATGCTTGTGAACTATTTTAGATTGTATTACTTTAAGAATCACCATTCTGTGTTTTGTGGGACTTTATGATGTGCACTACATTCTTTTGAAGTGCTGTATGTGTTTATAAATTCAGTATATTTAATATATTCCTATGAGTATCATTACTTGTCTTTAAAAACTTTTTGGGAGAGTTTCTATGTTTTCATTTGGAGTCTAAAAGTTTGCCTGAATTACAACTGATCTCCAAACAAAAGAGATCAGTTCCCCTGGAGAAAATGGCTGCTTTGGAGGATGGGCCCTATGGCATTTCAGCCCACTAAGGTTCCTCTGCTTCCCAAACCCTGTCCTCCCCGAGCTCCACCCCGGCTCTCCAGTAACTTCCTAACCCAGAGTCATCAATCATATATATACCCTTAGCTTTTTTACATACACAAATTTCTGTTTGCCTCTGCTGGCTTTCCAAGCCATACTGGGGAGGACAAAATAAACTCTTGAAGAAAAAGCATACAACCCAATGCACAATTTCACAACCCTAAAGAAATTTTTGAGTGGAGAGGACAGAGAAAGAAGAAGAGGAGGAGGAGGAGGAGATTGGATTTATACCCCGCCCTTCACTTGGAGTCTCAGAGCGGCTTACAAACTCCTTTCCCTTCCCCTCCCCACAACAGACACCCTGTGAGGTGGGTGGGGCTGAGAGAGCTCTGACAGAAACTGCTCTTTTTCAGGGACAGCTGTGCCAGAGTTTGTGACTGACCCAAGGTCACATCAGCAGGTGCAAGTGGAGGAGTGGGGAATCAAACCCGGTTCTCCCAGATTAGAGTCCGCGCACTTAACCACTACACCAAAATGGGGGGGGGGGATTATATATAACACAGGAAATTCTGAATGCTTCTGGAGGCCCGAGAGTCTAAGTGGATCTGTGGTTTGCCTCCTGAAGGCAATTATGTTCTATCTAGCACACACACACAAAATATCTGAATCATACCATGTTAAGAGTATTTCATTCCCACTAAAGGAAAAGGACATCACCACCCTGAGAAATAGGGCCACATACATGTCCCTTTCTTTTTAGCACATGGTCAAACTATATTTAAACCTTTACCCCCAGCCAAATCTCAGGCCAATTCATGCATATTTTACAATTGCCCTTCTGCTCCTTACGTGATTGTTGGCAAAGGCGTTCCTGTTGCTGGACAGTCCAACTCCAAAGGGCTGTGGAGAATCACAATATAGTCTGAAGATTCGTTTCCTCCTTCCATACTTGGTGGCACTAATCAGAAAGCCAAAACAGGAGGCACAATCAGTGCTCAGCACGCAGAAGGACCCACGTTCAATTCCCAGCATCTACGGGTATAAGGATCTGATAGGAGATTATGTGAATGGCCTCTGCCTGAGACTCCGGAGAGCTGCTGCCAGTCAGAGTAGAACATACTGATGCTGATAGAGCCATGGCCTGACATAGCAGAAAGCAGTTTGATGTGTGAGAAATACTGCCAGAATTCAAAACCAATATTTAAAGGAGCGTTTCATGCTTCTCCCTTTCTTGAGTAATAGAAAATTCAAGGAAAACTTTACAGAGTTTCCTTTATCAAGTTTCTTTGGATGGGAGATTAGATCACTGAAGACTTCTGCTACTAGGGATTTAAAACACTAAAAGTTTACAGGATCAAACAACAAGGGTTTATTTAACACCGATATAGATTGCTGTAAACCTTCAAACAGTTTCCAAGGCTTAGAAAACTGGCAATGGGTTACTTGTGTGTTACAGAATCATTTGTGCCTGAAGAATTTGTAATCTTCTTACTGATCTTACTGTTAATTGTCAGTGCACAGGACTGACACTGCAGCATAACAGCATGTTATTTTTAAATGACAAATATCAGTAGTAGAGCTGATAATATGTAAGCAGATTATATGGGCTAGGTACAGCATGAGCCCATTAATGTTTAAATGACAAAAACCTGAGAATATAAATACTACGAGGATTGCTCTGGCTGCACAAAGTGTGTTGGATATGTGCAAAACCCAAAGGTATGTTAGTTTGGTGCAAAACTCATATCTGTTTTATTCCCCCAAGAAATGTTTTTGTAATAAAAATCTATTGGCCTTTTAAAAAAAAAATGTTTAAATGATAAAAATGGCTGCTTTTTTTACATGAAATGAAAATCCCAAATGGTACCTGTAATGACCTATTTGTGTACAAGCTGAGCAGGCAATACAAGAGCATAAATATGAACACTAGTTTCAAAGCAGCACCAGCTACTCTCAGACTGAACAAATCAGTTTCAGCATCCCTGCAACCCTACAGGTGGATTTGACTCATGATTATGTAAGCCAAGAAAACTTTAGAGAAAGAGTAGCCCCAAATGATGAGAAGAGTCCACTGTCACCCAGTGATACTAACCAATGTTCCCTCTAAGCTGCAGAGCCTCATGAGCCAGAATTTTACTTAATGAGCCAAAAGACCTACTAGGATTAAAGTTGTGAGTGAGCCTGCATTTTAAAAAAACACAGAGGGAGGGAGGGAGGGAGGGAGTGAAGGAGGTATTCCCTACTCCTCCGCAGATGCAACTGTTTGCAGTCAGTAAAACACAGAAAACTAAGTACTTCTTTATATGATGGATAAATAACCTGATTTGTAACTCAGTTTATTCTCAGCCATCCCATGCATTCAGAGCATCTTTTGTAAAATATGTATTGTTCTTCACCAGACTTTTGATCTTTGTGACCTTAGGTTTGGTTTTCCAATGAAGAAGAAATCAGTGGAGCAGAACACTGGAGTGAAATGGGAGCATAACTGAGTACAAACATCATGTAAATAGTTGTGTTCTGTGCACATCATGCACTCTATGTGACTCTGTCCTTGAAGACAACATAGAAACCCCACTTGTAGTTATTACTAGAAGCTGGGTGAAGTATGCCCTGACCTGTATTACCTAGGCTAGCCTGATCTCATCAGATCTTGGAAGCTAAGCAGGGTTAGCCCTTGTTAGTACTTGGATGGGAGACCACCAAGGAAGTCCAGGGTTGCTATGGGGAGGCAGGCAATGGCAAACCACTTCTGTTCATCTCTTGCCTTGAAAACCCTACAGGGTCACCATAAATCAGCTGGGACTTGACACCAGTTGGAGTATGCAAATTTCACTTATTCTATAGTTGCTCTACTGGTTAACAATCAGTTTCCAAGTTCATTTCAAACTACTGGTGATAGCCTAAACAGCCTTTCATGACCCTCATATCTGCATGACCGCCTTTCTTGATTCATCTTAGCAAAACCTTTTGAAGAGGCCACCTTGCAAAAGGGTAAGATTTACCTGCTTCCCATACCCAAACGTTCTCCGTAGTCGCTCCCAGCTTGCGGAATGGCCTGCCTGACAGGTCAGGAAAGTTCCTGCACTTCTTTCCTTCTGCAGACTTTTTAAAAAATGAATTGTTCAGGAGGGCATCTTTATAAAGGGAAGAGAGTTTTAGTTAGTTAGTTTTAAGGCCGGTAAGAGTTTTTAGACAGTTTTCACTGTTTATTGTATATATCATGCTATTTTTGCATTGCTTTCTAGTTTTGTAGTCTGATTTTCTTCCACTGTCTGTGCTGTGTCTTAAACTGTTATTATTCCATTGTGTCAAGTTTACTTAATCTTGTTTTAGTGGTTTGTTTCTTGTATTATTAAGCTATTATTTTTGCTTTACCGTCTAATTTTATAATCCATTCGTAATGACTGTATGGATTGTATTGTCTTTATAACATTTTTTAAATGTAATCCACCTTTGGTCTCAGTGGGAAAGACAAATGAAATAAATAAACGATCCTTCCTGAAACCAGGGTTGAGATTGGAAACAAGAGATTCAGGCAAGGAGACCTAATTAACACACCTGCTCTGCCAGGAGTTCAATAGGTAGCCAAGGAAAATGCTGTTTCTTGCAGGGAGTCTCAGCTGTTGTGGATGGTTTCCTTCCCAAAGAAGAGGGTCTGTATTCCAGTTCAGTACAGAAAGGTCTTTGTGAAGGACTTGATCTGTTTAATGGGATTTTGTACAAATCAATTTTCTTAAGGTTCTAGTGGAATTATGGCTTCGTTTTTGTTCTTGGATTGTAGGCATATTTCCATAAAATGCCGGATCACACCCTGCAACCATGAAACCACATTTTAATTATTCTGATTACTGGAACAAAAATAATCTGGATCAAGAGGTATATTTGCATTTCAGCAGTTGTAAGGTTGGAATTGGTGGTCCACAGAACCTTCAGATCTTGGGAGCAGCCAGGTACCTCTCTATATTCAGCCCTCCTGAAAGAAAGCATATAGATGGGGAAGGAAGGAAGGAAGGAAGGAAGGAAGGAAGGAAGGAAGGAAGGAAGGAAGGAAGGAAGGAAGGAAGGAAGGAAGGAAGGGGAGAGGTGGAAAGAAAGCATATAGATGGGGAAAGAGAGAAAGAAAGAAAGAAAGAAAGAAAGAAAGAAAGAAAGAAAGAAAGGCCTTCAGAGGAGCCCTTGGTTGTGTTCCTTGAAGAAGGCCATTGGGGGGGGGAGGCCCCCCAGACCACCTTTCCTGCAGAGGGAGCCCCAAAGCCTCCCCCCCATGGCACTGTCAGCAGAAGGCCCTCAGAGGAGTCCCGGGCCATGTTCCTGGAAGAAGGCTGTTGAAGGGAAGGGAGGCAGACGTGCAGCCTGGGCAGGAGAAAGTGAGCCCAGAATCTTTTGTGTCTCTGGGAGCAATGTGCTCTGCGTGGCACAGGAGCTCCTGGGGCTCACTTATCCAGCAGCCAAGTTTAAATTGGACTGCAGGAGAAAGTGAACCCAGGATCTTCTGTGCTACCAGAACAATGATCCCCCCGATGGCTCTGGAGCACAGTCTCAGTTCAGGTGGGGAGGCATGGCCCCAAACTACCCTGTGAGGCACAAACCCACCCATCAGCACTCAAAGCCTGGCTCAGCTACCCACTGACCCAGACCATCCTTCCAGTGAGGGGCCTGCTGGCAGTGGGAGGCCCAGGAAGAAGTGCTGGTCTGCATTTCTGGCCAAAGGCCATTGACAGGATGACTCCCCAACCGCTCCAGGATGGCTGGGTGCAACAGCAGAGGCAGGAAAGCAGCTTGGGGTTCGGCAGCAGCAGTGCCTCAGTTGGCAGGACAGCAGTTCCCATCTTGTGCCACTCAGCCAGGAGGGCTGCTGGGAGTAGGCACCCTTTATAGCCCAGGCTGGGGGCTAAGTGGGAGGGCAGGGCCACCCACTACTCAGACCCTTGGGCTGAGATGAATATCTGTGCACTGGGGGCTGAAAATCTGTGCACTAGCATGGGCTAGCACACCTTAGGGGGAACCCTCATACCAACATGCATATGTGCACAAAACGTGAGGAATAGTCCATTATTAAAATTGTTGGAGGCCTCCCACTGATCACCTGTGGTGGTGGCAGAAAAGTACTTTTAAAACCCACTGGCATCCTCTGCTCTGGCACGTCACTTCCAGGTACAGCCTGGAAATGACAACATGTGGCTCTAGGAATCATGATTCCTAAAGTAACCCATTGTTACTTCCAGGTTATACCTGGAAGTCACATAGTGATGTTGGTGACATCACACACACCCATATCCCTGCCTCCTAACCCTCCCACTGGTTGCTACCCTATCCATTACAGTCTTAATACCGATCGGGACAAGAGAAATTCTGTAGAGACTAAACCTAGTCTTGAATATACTTATGGAAATGTAAATTTGGGAACAAGCTAAACAGAAAGCACAATTTAAATGCAATGTTGATTACATACCGAGGATTTCCACATCATATTTGATCTCCTTTTCTCCTGCTATGCTGGTAGCCACACATACATACTGCCCATGGTCAGCCTTTCCGGCATTCAAGATCTCCAGTTTCCTCCCCCCGGCCACAATGTGGAGATTATCGCTTATTTTCACAGGAACACCCTCCTTTAACCAGGTAAGCAGAGGAGGAGGGTTGCCAGCAGCATTACACTCCAAAACCAGCGAACTGCCAGCAACTACTTGTTTGCTGTGGGCTGTTTCAGAGTCACCTTCAATGACTGGAGGAACTTGAGGAAGAGAAAAGGAAAGAAGTGTTCTGTGAGCAATGCAATCTAAGCCAGAAAATATATTTAAATCCCCACTCTGTTATGAAGCTTACTGAGTGACTTTGGGGCAGTCACTCTAACCTTCCTCATAGGGTTGTAGTGTCAATGACATGGAGGATAATCATGTACACAGCCCTGAGCTCCTTGGGGGAAGGGGACAATGAAAAATGTGATTGAGACAGGGATACATACTCACACATGTGTGTTGGGGAAGGGAGGGAAGCAACTCAGTCCTTAAAAGAAATATCCTTTCTAGGAATCAAAGTTCTTTCTTGCTGCCGGAAAGCACTTCTTATGATTTCCAGCCACGCAAAGGGTTAAAGTGATCGACTTTGGATTCCTTGAGAGGATTCTAGCTCTCACTGAAGACTGGAGATTTAAGCTGTCTGCCCAGACCATACAGGCTCTGTTAGGTGGGGGAGGGAGTTCCCCTGGAATTACAGCTGATCTCCAAACTACAGAGATCAGTTCCTGTGGAGAAAATGGAAGCTTCAGAGAGGGAACTCTATAGAATCACAGCCCTGCTAAGCTCCCCCCTCCCTTCCAAAGCCTCCACCCTCCCCTAGCACTGTCTCCAAATCTCCAGGAATCTCCCAGTCCAGTACAGGCAACCCTAGACTCTGCATTGTTTCCTTGCTCTCACAACATGAGAACAAACTGAGAAAGGTGTACGGTCTGGTTTTTGGGTCCACAAAGCAACCCAGGATGCAGGGATTTTGTTCCCTTTCCCCCATGGTCCTTGTACCCCAACACAGAAGAATACGGCACATGAGAATGGACATGTCCTTTCTGCACATTTGGATATCTAGCCACCATGGTTTCCCTATACAAAGAACCCAGGTACAGTTCTGTATGGGGAAAGCGAATACTCCCACCACAGGCCATGTATGTTCACTTAAATGATTGCACATCCAGGGCTTTTTTTGTAGAAAAAGCCCAGCAGGAACTCATTAGCATAATAGGCCACACCCAACAGCTGAAACTCATTAGCATATCCAGCCACACCCATGAGAGCATAGCTCATTAGCATATTAGGCTGCACCCCCATTTTACCAGAAGTATAGTCATCCAGCCACACCCACCTTTTGCTTCTTATTCTGTTTACCATGTTTGTTGTCAAAACCTAGGGCTTTTTTCGTAGCAGGAACTCCTTTGCATGTTAGGCCATACACCCCTAATGTAGCCAATCCTAATGAGTTTCTGCTATTGGGTGTGGCCTATTATGCTAATGAGTTCCTGCTGGACGTGGTCAACTTGGGAGCCAGCCGGAACTCCGTTCCTGTGCGTTCCTGCCCAAAAATAGCCCTGGCAACATCTATTTCTGTGAGCTGGGTGTGCTAGAAACTAGAAAATCGCGTCTGACCATTTCACAGCACCACAAACAGCAAACAGAAGTAGGTTAAGAAAAATGACAAGACTGCCCCCCCCTTCAAAGTGGATTATATCTAATATCTTTATACCATAGACATCCACTTGAAATGTCTTTTCAGCAGTCCCAGCTACATTTGTTGCTTGGCATGTGTACTTAGCAGAATCGGAGATCTGAGCGCGAGGGATCTGAAGGAATTGTCCCCTTTCCAGGTAAAGGGCTTCTGGGCTGGAAATAATTGGACGTCCATCTTTATACCATGTTATTGTAGGACCTGGGATTCCCCTTGTCTCACACTCCAGCTTTATTGCACTGTTCAGCAATGTCGAGACCTCAGTGGTAATATTTCCTCCTTTAATAGCAGGTGGGACTATTGGCGAGAAAGCAAAAGAAAAAAAAATCAAGATGCAAACCAGCACAGACATCATCACTGCTTCAAACAGTAAAGTGCCCTCCCCTGCCAACCATCCCAGTATAATCACGAAAGCAACAAAACTGGTCCATCCACAGAAAAGGCAAGGATTTATACAGTTGGGGGAGGGTTCCCCCAATATGCAGAAAAATAAGATTTTCTAAGTCCTAAAAGCAGCTTGATAATAGCTGAATATGCACCAGGGGACAGGAAGGTTGACAGCAGCCGAGTGTCAGTTAAAGGGAAAAGAAAGGTGGAGCAGGGGAGGGAAATAGCCTGTTCAAGCTGCTAAGAATGTATAGAATCCTGGAACTGGGATTTACAAATCAGACCCTGAGATTCTCCAAGGTCCACCCAGCTTGTTCTTTCTAATAGATAGCTTTATGATTGAGTACTTATCACAAAGGCAGCAAAAGGATCCATGCAACGGGAATCCCAAGGCATGCAGAAAAACCTTAGTTTGTAAATTTAAAGAAAAGGCCTGGTGTGCACTGAGCGTCCTTACTGCCGCAAGAATATTAATTGTCATTTAGGCTGCAGTCATACCTGCCATTTGGTGCAGAGGGGAAGCAAGCCTATTTCCCCCTGTTGAAATTGACACGGCATTGTGCGATCACACATCCTTTGTCGCTGCGTGCTCAGCCCATCACTGCCCGATCAGACGGCACATGGCTGAGTGGGGGGGTGGGGTTGCCTTTTGTTTCCCATGTGCATAAACTAGGAATCTGACGATTTTAAGGTTCTGTTTTTGCTTGACAATCAAGATGCGGAAATAACTGAAATAGTAGCAAGGTTTCTTCTTAGCGCTATGGCTATACGTTCTGATAAGTAACCATTGTTTTTTCTGCTTTCATGGTGTTTTTCTGCGCCGTAGCTCCAATTTTACCCTACATGGATTTGTATTTTCTGATCTATATTTAATCTGATCTCCTATTGTATGTATATACGTATGCCAATAAAGACTTGTCAAATGTAATAAACTAGGAATCACACCTCCACACTGAGGGTTCCCCATGGAGTATGCAGTTATACGCATTCTGCTAAGCGAGGAGAAAAAAGCAGCACCGATTCGGGTTGAAATGAGCAGACCATCCTGACAGCATGAGAGCATGCTTGAGTGATCAGACAGGGAAAAGTTCGTCCGTAGCCTGTCAGCAAGCATTGGGACCGTACTTTCCCCTGTGTCTTTTAACTCTGCTTCTGTGGTGGAGCAGCATGGGGTGCCAACGACTCTGGGACCTTTCCCAGATGTTGCTGTCTGATTCTGCCCTTTAGATCTGTCAGGCATTCACAGCTGAGTTGAATCTAAAGGCACGTCTGACTGCGGCCTTAGAGTGGGTGGGAAGAAAGCAGAAAAAGATATGAAGAAATACAGCTAAACACCCTAATGGCTTATAGTATCCCGGTAGAGGAGATTTGGGTTGGAGGGGAATTTCCTGTTTACTTCCTCCCTCCCCTTGCAATTTCTCACAAGTCCCAAACTTGTTAAGCCTTTAAAAGCAAAATCCATGCTTCTAAAGTAAATAAATGCTTAATTGTATCTTAGATCAAGATGGGTAATCATGTTAGTCTGTCTGTAGCAGAAAAAAAGAGCACGAGTCCAGTAACACCTTGAAGACTAACAAAATTTGTGGCAGGATATGAGCCTTTTCTTCAGATATCTGAAGAAGTGAGCAGTGACTCATGAAAGCTCATACCATGCCATTAATTTTGTTAGTCTTTGAGGTGCTACTGGACTCTTGTTCATTTCTAATTGTGTCTTGTATTGTAAGATGCCCCCTATTAGGAAGAAATCATTTTCTCTGCATCGCCCAATGCACCCAAATCCCCAAAACAAAACAGCACAACAGGCAAAACTATGGAGTAAAATTATTCATAAATCAGATAAAATAGCTTTCAAGCAGCAGGTATTAAAATATACACCAACAGTCAAGGACCGTTGAAACAAATCCCAGACCGCATGCTCAAATTGTTCCAGAAGCACATGATTTCAAGAATGCTGGGCCATGCTGCATGTTTGAATGTTTTTCAATGGGGCAAAAAATCCCTGCCCATAGAAAACCAGTCAAAGACCTTTGTGTGTGTGTCTGTGTGTCTTTGTATGTGTGTGAGCAATATTCAGTGGTGCCATCCAGGAACAGATTTACTCTATGGCATCTTTTGTTTCTAAAGGGAAACATTAACTTGAGATCATGCCTAAGCAACCTCTCTTCCAGTCTAGTTGAAGCTGCTGCCTAGGAGGCTGCCAGTAAAGAGACAGGAAAATCTAAACAGAGAGTATTTCAAAAGATTTGAGAAAAATATTCCTTACTTTACTCTCCCTTCAGGAACTGCAGGAGAGCTTCAACTGAAGTATGGTTTGGGCATGCAGGGAGATTGTACTTCAAGGTATTACTATTGATCTATCACACATTTTTAGTGTTACTTCACCCTCACTGGTGTGTTTTTACAATATTATTATCACACATTCCAATTTAGACATAGAGTATTTATACAGCAGAGACAGCAATTTGCCCAAGTTCACAGGTGGAGAAGGGATCTGAATTTGGTTTCAACTCCTACTGAATGCTTGACTGAACTGCATTAATGGCATAAACCACCATAGCTTAGAAGACCTACTGTCCTTCATACACAATTAAAGTTGTGAGCATGTGTGCAAATTCAGCAAAATTCATAGATTCTAAAGGCTCCACCTTGATTTTATGTTCAACCACTCTTCCCTTATTCTTTCAGCCTCTGTCCCACAAAACTTTTGTCTATGCAGGTCCCATGCTCCCCAGTATAACTTTTTTGGTGATCACCAGCTTTTCTGGTGTTCACCAACATTTTTGGCGATCTCTTCCCTTTTCCATCAGCAGAAAAGCTGCTTGGATTCAACCAATCATGTGTCCTTAGGACAGTTTCTCACATGTCACTGCAATGAGCCCATCTGTCCAAACATATTTGACAAAGTTGCCAAGCATAACATGGATCAAACAGAGACAAAGATCTGTGAATTTCATTGTGTGCAAAAGGATGGGAGACAGCTGAGCCATGCAATGTAATTTGGGAGCCACCAAGAAGAAGAGGGAAAAGGGGGAAAATTAAAAAGTAAAGGGTTGCCCTTGGTTCTATCAGCCAGGTCAATACATTAAAAAACAAAACAAATCTGTGCTCAGATTAGCAAGGGAAGACCTTAAACCCCTGCCTACAAACTCCCTATGACTTCTTCAGGAGATCCATCTTATACTTTGGGAATCACAAACAGCACTTCAACACCCTGTTGATTTCAGCATGCCTTGAAACCTGAAATAATTCCCTCCACTCTGGAGGCAGCAGTTTATATCATTTTCTAGCCAACAACAATGTATGCAAAGTAATCACTTGCAGATGCTTATAAAAGACTTTGAAAACAACACCATGCTCCCCCCCAAACACACACACACACACTATGACTAGTTTGACTGCTGTTGAAAGCAATGGCACACGCTGGCTTATGCACTATACTGCTAAATGCAGCCAGGATGTCTCAACATTTCAACAGTTTCCAAGACATTATCATTTAAATTGGTATATCAAAAATACTAAAGAGGTAGAGAAGAAACCACTGTTTAGAGGAGTTTAAATGAATGACAAAGTTGCTGCAGTCAAATCCCCAAACTTCAGGTACCTTAATCTGTATATTATGCATATTGTTTGATTATACAAATCAAGCACACTAATTGTTGAGTCATATCTTCATAATTATCGGCTACCACAAAAAGTTGGGGAGGATCATAAATTTCCTATCATTATTTGACCATCTGTACATACCAGGATTTGTAATTGTACTAGTAGAAGTTCCTGAGTTCCTGTTTGTTTTTTTCACTCAAGTCTCAAACCCTGGATAGTGTAATCTTAAAATACACACACACACCCCTTAGCTTGTACTGCTGAGCCTTCGTTAATTTAAATGAAAAGCCCTCACAGTCTGCTAAAGTAAAAATTAGGTTCCTTAAAGTCCAATAACAACTTATTCAGAAGTAAATTCTGTCCATTTTGGGACTGGTTTCCAAACAAGCCCTCATGTTATTGCAGTCTTAAACCACTTGAGTATTTCTCAATGTACAATATTTAAGAGCTTCTCTGCATAAACCATTAAGGAAACTGACTATACAACCCCAGATTAATGCAGAAGTCCACAACATCAGCCACTTAACTGAACCTGAAGAACTGTAATGAACTCCTTTCCAAGAGAAGGCTATCATGAATATGTTTTTATTTTATCCCTGGATCTAGGCTCTTTCCCCCCGCCCCCACAAAGGGAATCTGCAGCAACTAATAGTATTAGGTGCCCTGCACAGATTCTGGGTAAAAGCCACACAACCTTAGTAATAGATGACCTTCTAAATACTAATGGTGCCATTCTATTTTTTTTTTAAAGCTAGACGCAAGCAGTGTTCCCTCTAAGCTGAGTTAGTGTGAGCAAGCTCACAGTTTTTTAGCCTCCGGCTCACATATTTTTGACTTCGCTCAGGAAGGATGGCTCCAGAGCAAACTAATTTATGCAGCAGCCAAAACGCTTGCTCGCAACAAAGTAGAATTTTTGCTCACAAGACTCCACAGCTTAGAAGGAGCATTGGACTCAAGTCCAGTAGCCCTTTAGAGATCAACAGTTTGGGGGGTATAAGCTTTCAGGAGTGAAAGCTGCCTTCATCAGATACCCTTTGTATCTGAAGAATGAAGTCTTGACTCCCACAAGCTTAAACTCTGAAATACTTTTGTTGGTCTCAAAGGTGCTGCTGGACTCAGATCAAGCTCTTCTACTGCAGACCACCAAGGCTGCCTTTCTGAAACTCTCCTAAGTGGTGGTACACTCTTTTAAGTCTACTGATATCAATGGGCTTAGAAGGACACAACCCTGTTTGGATAGCACCATAAATTACTTTAGTCTACTCTCTTCAGACAACAGGAACACATGAGACAAAACAGTAATGGGT